CTGATAGCAACACTCGGGGGGTTGGGAGAATTCTCGACAGTTATGCAAACCCTCGACTACGTCTCGGGTTTGTATAACCGTCTCGAATTCTCCCAACCTCCCCTCGTGTTGCTATCAGGCTATGTAAACACGGAAAAAGTTTTCTATTGCTTAATTATTTGATGTTTACCGTGAACAGATGCACTCCATCACTTTTTAGTCTCAGGGAAAGGGCGGGAAGAAGGGAGATTTTACGTGCATTGAAAACGACGTGAATGCAGGAGAACACGAATTCAAAGGGCCTTGGCCCGGTTGTACGAAGTGTGAATAGCGCTATCCGACGGATAAATCTTATCCAGTGGATAAATGTATTGGATAACAGCATCGATTTATCCACTGTGTGATGTATAAGGATTTATCACGGTCGGATAGCGCTATTCATCATTCATACAACCGGACCCTGGTAGGTATTCTTTACCCTATCCCGGTGGTCCGGGGGAAAAGGTAATTACTGATAGTGATTACGTAAAAAAATATTAAAGGTAGAGAAAATTAGTTGTAGGATGGGGAAGTCAGTATGCCAATTTTTGTGCTTTTGTCCGCTCTGTGTAGATAAAACCGTGGGTAAAAATTTGAACATGGCATGCTTCGACGTGCAGTGTGTCCCCGACCGACCTTTAGACTTTTCCTTCCTTCTTTTATAGTTATCGTGATGACAAGGGTGAGGGTCGAACATTTTGGGGAATAGGGTGTACTTCTTTTATCTAATTCATGAATGATATCATTTTAACTCGGTTTTTCTGGATAATTCTTTACCTCACAACTGATGGCATGACTCTAGTACTAGCTCCTGGGGTTCCATTTCTCGAGTCGTGGTCGCTTACCCCGCACTAAGACAGAGCAAATTAATGGTAGTTAGCATTCTTTAGCATCTTGATGCTCTATCCGTGGACAATATACATGCATATTAAAGCTTCGCATCAGTTTACCTTTAGATTTGTCTGGCGTTTCATCTTTCACACAAGGCAACACTTTCTCGATCGATAGCTCAGTAGCTCAAATCAAGATTACCAAGGTTAACGAATAAACTGGAAGTATATCAATAGCCAATTGATAAGCTGTAATCAGCAAACAACATGACTGGCCGGCCAAGTTGATTAAGTAGTTTGAATTGGACATCTGTTGTAAAACAGTTTGAAGAGCTACGACGGTCGATCTACGACGGTTGTTATCAATTTACAACTGGTGTGAAAATTAAACGATATGTTTTTCCCAATATATATGCTTGAATCCTGCATAACATTTGTTCGTCAGCCTAGAAGAAGGCAACTGTATAAAATAACTCTTGGGTTCTTTCATTTAGGTAAAGTTAAAAAACCGCTAAGAAACTTGCTCAGCTCTGTTGACAAGCCTTGAAAGAAAATAAAAAAGGCGCCCAACACCAGAAATAAATTGCCTTCAAACCTCTTCTGATTGGCTGTGGTCATGGTAACTGCAAGTTTTGGCGGGCATCATAAAGTCTTTGGATTAAGTTTTGGGACATTGGGACAGTTTTGGCGGTATTAGCCGACGTTTTATCTTTGCTTCTTGAAGGTCGTTTTATTTTCATAAGAAAAAAAAGTATTTTGTAAATATTATTTATTAGAAAATAAACTGAATGGGGAAAATAAATAAAATTCTCACGGTGTAAATATATCATTCATGCAAAATCACATCATTTCTTTACGATTAGCTTTTGCGCAAAGGAAATGATGAATACTGCCTGTAAATAACGGGGGAAATTTTAACCAAAACATAAAAGATTGTAAACCCGGTTTAGTTTGATTTTTGAGAAAAGACGAGACTAGGAATTTCATTTATTTTCAGTTGCTTTGCTTTTTCATGTATAACTCAGGCAAACTAATTTTTCGCGCGCTCTTAATCCCTTTTGGCGCCAAAATTTAGATGCTTGAAACATTAAAATATAAATCTAGGTTTAACGCATGCTAGTCTTTTATTCCTCATGCAAAAAAGCAATGAAGCATTCACCCACGACGAACAAACAGCTGCTAGATGATTTTTCAACCGTAAAGCCAGTGTGTTTTAATTTTGGGTTTGAAAAAGACCACGTGGATAAGTCCAGATGAAACTTTTTTCAGCGGAAAGGTGATACCAAAACAGGAAACCAAAAAGGATCTTTCAGTTCTAAAGCCTTTTCGTGACTACTCAAGTGTAAAGTTCTCTCATAGATTATTAACCCTAACAATCATAAACAATGCCGATTGCCGTTAAGAAGAACTGGCTCTTTTTATTGCACTGCACTCGGCAACCGTGAATCTTCACCTCCAGTCTTTCTATCAAATTGAATACAAACTACAATGCTACAGCGTTGTTGCAGTAGCGAAGGGAGGGGTGGGAAGGGCGGTAGAAAGTATGAAATAGCCTCCCCGTCCCTCCCACATTACTCACTCTACTCCCCTCAGTATCGATCGTGGATTCGCAAATTGGAGTACGTACTTATAGAGTCGAAATTATCTAATGTGAAAGCACTGAAGCTTTAAGTAAATACATTTTATTTTTAACCCAGTTTCTTCTCAGTTCTTGGCGTATAGTAATTCAGTTTAGATTTTGTCCTGCATTTCTTAACACAAGAGGGATAAACGGTAGCAACCACGTGTGGCAACCAGCTTTAAAATGTTATACACCCGGTACTTAATTAGCTTCAGTAATAAGGTATACCAGCTAAGCAATAATATGAAATGAGTATATTTGATCGATAGCTCCAAAAAGTATTATCAACAGACCTTGAGAGAACTTTTTCGCACGAGTGTTAGGAGTGGTACGTTACCGTACTGTAACCGTAAGTCGTGTCTTCCCACTCATACGACTCTTGAGCAGTATACACCTATTTCATCTTTTATTGTCGAAGTCAAAGGAGATAAGTGCGGTCGATACGATACGTCGCTACGAAATTTTGCATATCGTTTTGTCGTTTCAGATTCGTTATTAAATAATAAAAATCTTTTTCATTACACGTCACTGCTCTTTTCGATCCCTGGTCTCTCTAAACGAGCCACTGGTAGAGAGCATCTCAAAAAATATATAAAATAGCTGGAATACCGGCTTTAGTGTTTTACAAATAGATTAATAATAATAATTATTATTATCATGCAGCTTCTCATTTATCTCATATAGGTAACTGTCCAATTATTTTCTTAATTGGACAGGTCTTGTTGATATGGGATAATGGGATTTCATGCTCCCCAATCAAGAAATAATTAGACTCGAAAAATTCCTCTGACTGCCAAATTGG